CCACAAAGAACTACAGAGGCGACCGTTACCACTACAGGCCATGTAATACAGAAGTGAGAGTGACAGCATAAGCATTGTTTTCCTGTTCAGATCCAACAGTCTTTTATCTCTGGGATTAGATCAGTCTCCACACATAAAGCACCACAGGAGGAAGGCAGGGAAAACTATTTTCAAAGTCAACTTTTGAAATGTAAATAGCTTGCTTGAAGCGCAGCACCCGGAGACGCTGCAGCTCTTTATGTAAGCATGCTAAGGCGGTTATCTGAGGTGATGGGGATGCTGAAGACAAACGTGGTGGCAGTGGATAGAGGGGAAAAAAAATGAGGAAGGAGTTATGGTTGGGACCGATGGAGAAGTGAAATAGAAAGTAAGTGTAGGTTTTTATGCATGAGGATGGAGCCGGCGGCAGAAAAGCAGCACTCGAAGTACAGTCTTAGTCAGCAAAGTGTGGGCACAGCTGCTTTATTTAATAAAAAAAGAAGAACAAAGAGCCTCTAAAAGTTTCTTTTACTGAACTATTTTACTGAAGCTGTGTTTGTTTGACTGCTCAACCCACAATTTAAATAATACAGCATTTCTTCTACTTGTTCCCTGTAAATAAAGGAGAGAAAAAACAAAACAACATTTACAGTTTAGAACCTCGTACCAGTCTGTCTGGTACAAATAGCTCAAAGAACTGGATAGGGTAGTTAATAACAGCAGCTCAATACTTTTCCCTGGCTGAAGACAAAGGAAAGCACAACACACCACAAATCTGTCCCACCCAGTCTGAATACATTTACTAGCGCTGAGTATAAGCACTCATTTACAGCCGAATGCCAAGTAGTCTCGTCTTTATTCCCGTCTTACTTCTATCTATCTTTTCGCTGTTAAGCTTTTTTATTTCCCCACCAGCTCTAATTGTTTGGAGAACAGGTAGTGCTTATCTGCCTGCTGTGGACAAAAAACAAAACACCCACGATAATCACTGTAAAGTCAGGATTCAACTTTTGACAAAGCAAAAACAATAAGCTAATGGGCACCCTTCATCCAAATCGATGACTCTTTTCACATTAAAATAGACGCATCAATTAAAGCTGCTGTAACAATAGTCTGTTGTATATATTGTGCTGTATCCCTGTGTTTTATGTGGCCTCAATTCTACAAAACATCACTAGCTATTAGCTAAGTGTGAATCTTAGCTCATTTGGTTAGTTTCAGAGACCAAAAAAGGGTTTAAGAAATCGGAAAGTCACAACATGACATTGTACCGGTGAGAAACAGGAAATGACCTGTGTGACTGGTGTTAACAATGAACAAATTTAGTCCTGGGTGCAGATTAGGACAACAAAGAGAGTGTGGTGTTCTAAATGAACCCAACAGAAAACCTTGCTGTCTAAAAAAACAAAACAAATCATCGTGTGAATTCACTTGCTGCAGTCTTAACGTGTTAAACTGTGTCATCACCATTTCTTACTTCTGATAAGAACTCCAGTGACAAGAGCGCCAAATTACTTTTGCATGTGCAAGCTCTGAGCAAGAGATAAAATGTATCATTCAAATAAGTGAAGCAGTTTAAGATGCTGTGATCCAAAGAGCCGGCAGTGGTACCGCTTCTTACTCCAGCAACCCAAAGGATTAATGATTCAGAAAGACACTCGCTGATTTTATTATATGACTTTCTGCAGACTCTCCGTGGATTAAAGTTTTAAATTCTAAGTCTGTAATATTTGAGGTCAGCTGAGTTTAGAATGGGAAACTTCCTCCCAGGCTTCTCAATAAACCTGTCAGTGTTGATATGTGAACATCTGCTTGACATAAATCTTAAAAGATTAAAAGATTAGGAAGTTTAAAATTAGGAATTTTAGGACCACTTAGAGAAAAATCAAAGACTATCCAATTCAGTGAGATTGCTGCTAATAAGATGCTAAAACCTTCTTAATAATTAGCTGGCCGTCATGATGTTATTTACCATAGCCCATAAGCTAACTTCATATCAAAGGCCTGTGAGGAATATCACTCACTTTTCACTACAGTATATTAGGTGAATTGGTTTGGTTTTCTGTTCTTTTCTTGCAGCAAAAGGTTGCAACCTTAACATGGTGCTACCCAGTGTTATCCTACTAGAGTCACTAATGTTTCACAAAAACAGACAGCCCCTGGTCTTAAAATAGATGAAAAAAAGGAAGTGCCAGTTTCATAGAGGTTGGTTTAAGGAAATGACAGTCACTTTTACTAACAATAAAGATCTTTAGATCCACTGAAACCCTACTTGATTAAGACAGACAGA